GGCAGTGTTCTGGGCCTGCTGATCGGAGGCACAGCTGGCATCATCTTCTTGACCTTCACTATCATCTCCATCATTCACCAAAAGCCAAAGCAGTGACTGCCTGCTGGCTTTGGCCAGCCCGCAGAGCCACCTCCTCCCCTCAGGCCTTCCCTTTCTGCAGTCAGCAGGGTTCAGGGCACTTTCTGACAGCTTTGAATGGGACCTCTGAGGACCAAGGACTGTCATCCTATGTGTAACTCTTATCATTTTTCTGCCCCCTCCCTCATTCTATTACCCTGTGTGTGCTTCTAATATATCTGGTGTATCCTGGGACAACACCCATCACACTGAACTGCAAATCGCTTGTTTAACTGACTGTCTTGCCTTTTGACTGCGGGCTCCAGGAAGGCAGCGGTACATTACCCTCATTTATCCCGCGAGCCCCGGGGCCTAGACACTTGGCTGGCATGTTATCGTGGGCACTCAGTAAAGGTTGAATGAATGAACAATAAATGAGTGAATAGCTAAGATGTAGAAACTCTCTCATGCCTATTTCAGATAAGATATTTATGATGAAATCCATATGTTGGTTACATTACAATCAAATATTCATTTTTCATCAGACATAATTGTCTTGTTACTCTTTTAAAATCTTGTTAAGGGATGTGAAATAAAGATTCCTCTGGGAAGTGCGGTTTCAGAGCATTTTCTTTCATTTTTCTCTGATGTTAAGCAAAGGTCTTTAATAAATTCAGCAATATTGAGTTACTACCTTCTCTGTGTCCAGCCCTGCCAACATGGCTGTGTGCGTTCATGTTAGAGGGAAAGTGTGTTCAACGCTCTCTTTCAGGTCCATTTAAGTTTCAGAATATATTTCATATGTTATTCATGTATAAAGTTACCATAGTATCAAGCCAAAGGTATTAGGAAGAAGAGAACGTATATTCTGAAGTATATTCAGATCCACTTTTTTTCCCTTGTTCTAAAGACATAAAATCTAAGTGAGCTGAGAAAGTTCCAAGGTGGATTGACTAAAAAGGTAAAAAAAAAAGAGTTCCCATGCCCAGAAAGCAAAGCACCAGCTCTCAAAGTTCAATAAAAGAAAAGATTTCTAAGACCCGGAGTGATCCAGGCTTCAGGGGACTAGCCTTCATAAGTAGAGACTCTTTGGCAATTCTGTAAAATTAAAACGCACTGAAGCAAAATGAGAGATTGATAAAAGTCCCTCTGATGGAAAAGCATAAGTGAGAACAGTTTGTAGCAGATGAAAACAGCAGCCCCTTCGTCAATGGTTCTCAAACTTGAAGTGCCTCAGTATCCCCTGGAGGTCTAGTGGAAACGCAGGTTACAGGGCTCCACCCTCAGAGTTTCTGGGTCAGTAGATCTAGTCTGGGGTCTAAGAGTCTGCACTGCTGACCAGTTCCCAGGCAATGATGTTGCTGCCTCCTCAAATACATACACACTTTGAGAACCACTGCTCTACTGGGTAGAACATGGGTCTGGAAGTCAGGCATCTGGGCTGCAGGCATAAACTGACAATTACCTAGCTGTGGGACTTTAAAAAGAAATCATTTAAGTTCTTAGTTTTAGTTTACCAAGCTGTCAAACAGAAGTAATAGCTTATTACCTTCTTCCACCTGACCTTACCACCTATAGAGTAGTAAAATGCGATAATGCATA